CTCTGAAGTGTCATTCAGCCTCTGGTATTCTGCCGTCTCCCCCATGGCGGGGCTCCAACACCGGTATCTCCCCCTGGGGGTACGTGTCCTCAAAGTCCACGGAACGCCACAGCTCCGAGCAAGCCACCCACACACTCAGTCGGTCAGTCGGTCAGTCAGTCCGCTTCGAGGTGTGTGCTGTCGTTGGGAAGACAAGTAAAGAGTTCTCCATGTCATTTACAAAACAGCAATTCCAATATTTCACAGAGCACAATATTTCAAATAAGCAGCCACTGATACCTCCGATACTCCCACCATCATTGTCTTTTAGGAGTCAGCTTTCCTTGAGAATGGGTGGACAATGAGTTCATCATATCCACACCGTGATAACTGAGCAGTCTGTTGCCTTTCTGTCTCGAAACAGCTTCTTCAGACAGTAACTCAGAATAAATACAGTCCCTATTTTTGCCTTGCTTCGACAGGATTCTTCCTCTTCTGTAATAAAAATAGGAGAAAAAATCTACTACTAAAAGATTGTACCAATTGTCCTTTTTACACGTGGGTGTCTTAAATCTTCTGGGAGCATGCAAGTGGTTGTTCCAAATTGATTTCCTGGACGAGGGAATCCCATGTGTCAGAGCCGCTGGATGGAGCGTTGGGATGATGCAGCCAAGGTGTGGCACAGGAGGTGAGAAGTCTGGCAGGCATTATTCCTGTCGTACCATCTAACGCCACTGTCATAACCTCTACCCTCAATCTGTCTCTCGCTCCGACTGCTCCTGTTCGCCCAGCCTTAGTGCTGACGCATGCTCTTTACATCCAGCAATATCGCACTCCCTCTCTCTTTGTGTTTCTATTTCTGAGCCACAGGCATCACACCGGCCGGTTTACCTCCTCTCTCTCATTGCTGGCAGTGAAATATCACAGCAACAGCTCGTAGAGGAACTGTTTAGAAATGTTCACCTGTCATGTTTCATCCTTCCTTTGTGCGCATCTATTATTTTTCTTTAGCAGCTGTCCAATCGTGGAGGATTCTTAACGCTGCTTTGTCCTAAATGGACTTCCTGATTGCTCGGTCGATGCCTAATCCCTGACTGTTGTTGTTATTGTCCCCCCCCCTTCTCCTCACCCTCTAACCCGCTTTCCGCACGGCTCCACTTTTTTTTTCCATTTCAGCCTGATGATTTGGTGAGTGGTCGCCTCCACTATTACCGTGGCAACATCAACCCATCCAACCTCCCTCCCCGCTCTCCTGTGTCCTGTAGTCACGGCGATCTAGTCCNCATGAAAAAGTATACTAGTAGGGTGTTCAACGAATCACTTGAATCGTCTACTGAGTGTTTTTCAAGGCTCAGGAAACCCTTGCAGGTGTTTCGAGTTAATTAGACGATTCAAGTGATTCGTTGAACACCCTACTAGTATACTTTTTCATGATATTCTAATATTTAGAGATAGGATATTTGAGTTTTCTTAAGCTGTATGCCATAATCAGCAATATTAAAATAATAAAAGGCTTGCAATATTTCAGTTGATTTGTAATGGTAAATGGTAAATGGACTGTACTTATATAGCGCTTTATCCAGTCTTTAAGACCCCTCAAAGCGCTTTACATACTACATGTCATTCACCCATTCACACCCATTCATACAGAGCAGTGTACCTTACTCTAGGACCTAACATTCACACACATTCACACACCGTTGGCCATGCCATCGGGAGCAACTCAGGGTTAAGTATCTTGCCCAAGGATACATCGACATGTTGACTGCATGGGCTGGGATCGAACCCACAACCTTCTGGTTGAAAGACGACCACACTCCCTCACAGCCACAGTCACCCTAATGTAATGAATCCAGAATGTATGACATTTTTGTTTTTTTAATTGCATTACAGAAAATAAAGAACTTTATCACAATATTCTAATTTTCTGAGACAGTCCTGTACATAGTTAGCTGACATAGCGTATCCATCATATGTTTTATGAGTACATTATTGAACGTATGTACAGATATAACACTAGTGCTCACTCAAGAGCTTGTGCCTGTTGTGACGCTCTAGTTTTGAGAGTATGTGCATTAGTGCTACACCCTTCAGGTCCCAGATAAGAGCCCAGGGATCACCATTCGGTTGTGGTCTAAAAATATATTGTAAAATATAGTAATAAATAAAAAAATAGTTTTCCTTCTGGATGACAAAGAAAAAAAGAGTGTTACATAGAGTTTATAATTGATTTAGCACCAACACTCCTTCTTTAGTCACATGTTAGCAACTGCCATTAAAGAAATGTAAAAGTTTTACACATTCACAAGTGGGGTATTTACTGATATAACAAAACCTGCAAATCTGAAATGCTTGTTTTACCTTTAGACCTTATTCCAGGCATCTAACCAACAAGTCTATTCTATTTTAAAGAGATGGGAACGAAGTGCTAATATGCTAATGCTAATAATGCTAAGTTCTAATATCATCTATGGGTTTTAGGACTCATTCCTTCACTACTCTATTGGCCTTTCAATAATTATTTGACACTATTTCACCACATTGTTTCTCCTAAACACACACACACACACACACACACACACACACACACACACT